CTCTTGACAAGGGAAAACTAGAACCCTGAGATCTAAAGTGGTGATGAGTGTGAAAATCTTGAATACCTACAATCCCCTGAACTCTCAGCCTGACAGAAGCAGCCACCTAAACCCATGCTATTGGAGAGCAGCCTCCCTGTTCCCAGAGACAAGGCAATAACCTCATCTAAAGCAACTACTTCAAAAGAAGTTGCTTCTCTTACTCAACATCCAGCACTAACATTTTTATTGCTTCCAACTCATGACAAGGGTAAGGTATCACGATAGAAGCAAGATACAATCTCTAAACAGGTGGAAAATACCTTATATTCCAAAGGAACTACAGGAACTGGCTAATATATACTAGCATGAGTTAGGATAATATATGTTGGAATGGATTTTGAGGATGTCAAACTAGCAAGGAAAGGAAGCAGAATATAAGTGAATGCAGGGGAGAATTTATTGACATGGGATCACACACCCATGACTCAGAGGTCAATGATCTGGAGCTGGCCTAATGTGCTGCTAGGGTGGCATCTTTAAGTTTGGATAACAGCCCCACTAGCACTTCCTTGCCACAGTACTGAGGGAATTAGTGAGGAGGCCAAAGGGAGTAGGAATATTAGAAATTATTTATTGTGTGAGACAAGAAGAACTGTCTCTGAACTATTTTCCCTAGGAGGGCAGAGAAGACACTACGATAAAAAGGAACGTGTTGGTGAGGAAGAACACTGACATCTTTGAGAAGCTCATTGCTCTCCTCTGCAAAACATCGTTGGGAGTAAACTATGCGGCAATGGGGATGATAAGATTCCAGAATGGTAGGGCCTACGTGGTGGCACAAAACCTCAGGGGCAGGGTAGTTATCATTACCATAAAGGAAAACAAGATTAGAGTGGAGTCTGGCTAATTTAACTGACAGAAATCTGTGGCACTGCCTTATAGATAGTAGTATTCTAGCGCTAGATGTATGGACAGCTAACTGGTGTATTACTGCTTTTGTACAAAAAGGAAAGATGTGACCTGGCAGGCCAAAGTCTGGTGTTAGCAGCTGCAGTGGAAAATGATGGTCCCCCACCACGTTTGCAGGTCTGCACTATAAGTTGCCCTGCTACTCAGGCCATATGACTAAGCATATCCAGTAGTTCTTAAGGTATCTAGTCAAGTCCAAGCCATTATATAGGAGTTAATAGCACAGAATTTTAAGGTTCTGAAGAAAAGCCATATCTGCTGTAAACTTTGAAACAGCCATTTAAAAAACAGCTCCTTGTATGCTATTAAGGCTTATTGGATATAGAGTGCCTAACCAAGAGGCAGCAAGTGACTATATAACAGGAGCTGCCCATAACAAGTTGTACATTAAGATTCACCAAGTGATAACATCTGGAAGACTCAACAGCAGTCCACCCCATGATGGAAATGCTATAGTCAAGATTCAACCTGAGTAGGCACGAATAAATCAGTATATTACACAAACTCCCCATGGCGTTGACCATTGTTGCAATGATGTCGCTCTCTCAAAACACTCGTATGGCCTCCTGGGGTAGGAGGCAATCTATGACCAAGTAATGGAAGATGAAAATATCAAGCCTGGTGCATAGATGTCAGCATTAAATGTTATAGCTGTAAATGGACTGCTGCTACACTTCAGCCCCAGTTGTAGTAGCCCTGAAGAATAGTGTTGAAAGGGAAACTCCAGTTGGCAGAATTGTGAGCAGTATACCTGCTACTTCACTTTGTATAGAGGGAGTAGTGGCCTAAGGTTGTTTCCTGGACTGTGGAGAGTGACTCAGCTGGCATGTCAAGACTCTTGGAGAGAGACGGATTGGAAATTGAAGACAAGAGAGTCTGGATAAATGTACTCACCATCGAATTGGTTTTAACTGATCAACACTTAAGTACACATATAGTAATAACATTCATCGGGTGTCGGGCAGATGGGAAGGGGATGGGTATATATACACCTAATGAGTGCAGTGCGCACCGTCTGGGGGATGGACACGCTTGAAGCTCTGACTCAAGGTGGGGGGACAAGGGCAATATACGTAACCTAAACATTTGTACCCCCATAATATGCTGTAATAAAAAAGGAAACAAAAGTCTGGATAAGAGGCATGTGATGGAACTATGGGCATGAAAATAAATCATATGCATCTCTGAACGTCATCTTAATGGCCATACAAGAGAATTAATTGACTGTAGAGAAGACACTCAACAACCAAGTGGATCTGATGACTCATGCCATGGATGTCAATTATCTTAGCTCTGGCACATGGCTCCATGAATTGTCATAGGGGCAGGGATGGAGCCTAAGCATGAGCTCAACAGCATTGATTCTCTCTTGCCAAAGGTGATCAAGCTACTGCCACTGCTGAATATATAACTTCCCAAGAGCCACATCTGATGCTGTTCCCTCAATTATGCACCGTCCTTCAAGGACACCATCCAGCTACTTGGTTTCATGTTGAATGCACTGCACCCATTCTATCTTGGAGGTGGTAGTTATTCATCTTAACAAAAATGGATACCAACTTCAATCCTATATGATCAAGCACCACTTGCCTATAGTGGTGTCCAATTTAATAACACATCCTTGTTTGACTTTTCTTCCTTCCTTATTTCACCACTCATTTTCCTCTCTCTGACTCACTAAAACCAAATAATCTATTCACATGGAAACCCTTGTATCAGGTTCTCTTTTGTGGACACTCAGGTTAAGACAAACAGCAATAATTATGTATGTATTTTATAAAATATAAGTAGGTACCACTGTATCGGTAATGTATTAAACATTTTAAACATTCATAAATGAAAACTATTAAAAGTTACTAATTTTTCCAGTTCTAAATAAGAGGAAGTACACACATTTCCCTTGATTCCTCCCGCTAAAATCAATAACCTAAGTTTTAACCTTAGGAAACTAGAGAAAGAAGAGCACATTAAATATAAAACTAGCAAAAGAAAGAAAATAAATATTAGAGCAGAAATCAACAAAGCTGAAAACAGGAAAACAATAGAGTAAATCAATGAAACCTAAAGTTGGTTCTTTGAAAAGATCAATAAATTTGATAAGACATTAGCCAGGGTAACTAAGAAAAGGAGAGAAAGAGGGAGAAGACCCAAAATACCAATATCAGAAATAAAAAAGGGGACATCACTAATAATCCCATGAACATGAAAAGGATGATAAAATACTATCAACAACACTATGCACACACATTTAATAAATGAAATGGACCGAGTCCTCAAATATTTTTAAGGAAAATGTCATTTTATTTTATAATATTTCTTTCAACTACAGTTGATATTTTAATATAGAATTCACATTCTTTTTC